AACTCGCTGCCGGCCGCCTGGGATGTGGAGGGACGACTGCCGTCCGTGAGGGAGAGGAGGAGTCACCGCCGTTTGCCTGAGGCCGGAGCCTGCTGCCATCCGCCATGATAGGGAGGAGCAGGGAACGGGGGACTCCTGTCGGCTGCCCGAACCCGGAGGAGCCGTAGCTGTGCACTGGGCGGTGGAGGAGTGTTGGCCATCCACCGAGGGCTATCCAGTGCCGCCACCTGGCATCGCGGAAGAGTTTACCCAGCTGGTGGAGGGCCGAGCGTCAGTGTTTCTGGGAACCGGAACAAGATTATTATATTTTTTTCCTCTCTCCCCTCTCTTGTCTCTGTCTCTCCTCATCCTTCCGTCTCCTTTTCTCTCGCCTCGTCTGTCTGTCCTTACCCCCAGGTACACCGCGGCCGCCATGATCGGCTCCCCCGGAGTGGGGAGGGGGTGAGTAGAGCGCAGTCTCGTGAGTACCCCCCGGCCTGTGCCCAGGTACGCCGCGGCCGCCGTGATTGGCTCCCCCTGGAGGGGGGAGGGGGGGAGTAGAGCACAGTCTCGTGGGTACCCCCCCGGCCTGCGAGGGGCGAAAGGGGTATGTGACGAGAGGGGCGGGGCCGAGAGCCATGGGAACGGAGTGAGGCCGGTGGAGTAAATGCTAATGCGTGACACTTGCACCACTCACTGGTCTCGAGTCCCATGGAGGAGCTCCGGAAGGATAAAAGGAGGAGTGACGACAGTGGTGTACGAGAGAGGACCAGGCCTGGAATTTATTTTGTGTTTTGGTTCTGTTTGACCGCGAGGAGCTGTCGTGTTATTTTGTGTTTATTTTATTATTAAAGTTTTGTTCAAATGTTCGCCGGTTCCCGCCGCCCCCTTTCCGAACTACGAACGTTGTTACAATATACATGCATGTAAATGTTTTTAAAATATGTTCACACACATTATGTAAACAAAAACTTGTATTTTGGATGCGATTAATTGCGATGAATCATTTGACGGCACTAGTAAAAAATATACAGTAAATAATTCTGAAGTTGCTGGTTTGACACAAAAATCCCCTGAGAGCTGTTATGCGCGACCATAGTGGCAGATATCTAATCATCTTAAAGAACGAGCACAAAATAAGAATAGTTTAAATATGGCATCCTCAAAAAGCAATGTAAAAGATTGTTTATGATGCATATATGATTGTTCATAACATGACAAACTTCACATTCGAACCAAAGCAAGAACATTGCAGAAGTAGGATCAGTGCATCACAATGAATCAGTGCAGAACTCTGTTGCAATTCTCTATTGCGTATCCTAATAGTTGCCTCAAAAATCAAACTTCTGGCATTGTTTATTCACCCTCAATGAGGCACTTTGTATGACTTTCTTTCTTCCGTGGAAAACAAAATGAGACATTTTCAAGAGTTGAACTAGTCACTAGTTTCTGTGCAATTATAATGAATAGGAATTGGACCTTTCAAGCTTCATAAAAACAGCACTGTTGTGCAAAACATGCACACTATCCATAATTATCTGAAGCCATTGTTTGTGGAACAAAAGCACACTGTAGCATACTTATAAAGTGAAAAAGTTATAATTAAAAGTCCTTGGAAATAATATACATTAAATGAATATACTTAATTGTGAACCGAATGTAATGTAATTGGACACTTAACTGCATGTTAATTGCAATTAAATGAAAATGTATTATAGCTTAAATTAATATGAATTGCAATTTGATGAAATTAGTCATAACAGAGAATCATGTGACCAGAGAGGCCATGTGGTGCTCTGGGATCTGGGCATCAGGGCTTCTGGTGAGCTTATCTGTTCTTTTGTTTGGTTTGGTTTGTAGGAGATCTGATACCATTCTATATTATTTTGATATTATATGTGACCCTGGAGTACAAAAGCAGTCTTAAGTCGCTGGGGTATATTTGTAGCAATAGCCAAAAATACATTGTATGGGTCAACATTATTGATTTTTTCTTTTATGCCAAAAATCATTAGGATATTAAGTAAAGATCATGTTCCATGAAGATATTTTGTAAATTTCGTACTGTAAATATATTAAAACTTAATTTTTGATTAGTAATATGCATTGCTAAGAACTTCATTTGGACAACTTTAAAGGCGATTTTCTCAATATTTAGATTTTTTTTTGCACCTCAGATTCCAGATTTTCAAATAGTTGTATCTCGACCAAATAATGTCCTATCCTAACAAGCCATACATCAATGTAAAGCTTATTTATTCATCAATTTAAAAAAATTGACCCTTATGACTGGTTTTGTGGTCCAGGGTCACATATATTAAAACAATTACAGAATTAGTATTATTATTGGAATATAGTAAATGTAGTATACAATAATATGTGTCTGTGTATTTATATATACTCAGTATGAATAAGAATCTTGTTAATAAATTATTATATTAGATATTTACTGAATAATAATAAAATGAAGTCATCAAAATGTATTATAAGTATGTGTTATATATAATTGAATAAAACATTATATAATTATGTATATTAGACTTGTGCCGGTATTCGGTAATGCGATATATCACGGTAATGAATATGCACGATATTGTTATCGTGAGCACTTCTAAATACCGTGAATAATTATATATTACAAATTATTCAAAATTTTGAATGCATTTTAAGAATACTTTTCCCATCAACTGGTCAAAATGCACAACACCGCTGTATGCTGCGTGAAAGACGTGCGCACTCTGATGTAAAGAAGCGCGGACGAGAAGCACATGGCGGAACACGTGAGAGACGCTCTGGATGAAAGCGCACTTTCACTCTCTGACAGCAGATGGCGCTAAACTGCAGAAATAATAATAATAATAATAATTAATTTAAATGAAACCCTGTAAACAAAGCAGCTGCTCTACTTTCTATCGCAACATGAAAATTTGATACCGGCATATCCCTAATGTATATTATATATAAGTAAGAGATAATGCACAGCATGTGCATTAAACGGTTTTAGTGCACAGCTGCCAGCCAATCAGAATCGAATATGCAGACAGACCATGGTATATAATAGAATATACAACAGAACAAAAATAACTAAATTTATCTATTTTACATTTATTAATATACATGTTACTTATTTATTTGTTTGTTTATTTAAATAAAATAAATATTTTTTTATTTTATTTAGTTATTTTTTAGGGCCATCTGTAGGGCATTACTCATATTACATGATGGAACTGTCATGTGGCATCTGTTGTGTATTTTACATCGGACTGTCCAGTATTGCTCTGATGGCTGTTGTGTGGTTTGTCAGGTGCTTGTGGCCGCGCGAGGTTTTACAACACACTACGAAAAGAAAGGATGCTGTTATTTTACTACTGAGGTAAGACTATTGTATTGTGTGGATTTTTTGTATTTTCTTCTAAACAATCATCATTTGAACAATAATTGATTAACATGATGCTTTGAACAAATATTCTTTCCTAATGATGCCACGTCACTTAACAGTGTTTTGGGGGATTTTTTTTTTGTGGTTTCCAGGTTTTGCGTAAGTTGGGCTACACATGTTTGGCTATTCTGGCAGCTGGTTTGTGTTTCATGGTGAGCGGGACGGGGCTGACGCGGGGACCCCTCTGTTTACACAACAGCACTGACGGCCTAAAGTGGGGACGGCCATTAAAACAAGACAAAACTGGGTGAGTCAGACCTCAGATTGCTAGATTCTTTCACTATTTTTACAAAGTTATTCATTCAGTAGGCAAAAGCGTCAACATTAGTATTGTTTCGTTTCACTGAGAAACAAATCAGACATTAAACCTGATGTGTCCATTATGTGTGCATTAAAGTGATTTTAACTCCACATGAAGTTAGCTTTGAGGTTGTGTGCTGTGAAGTTGAGTTTATCTTATGTATCTTTCAGTGATGGAAAGGTTACTTTGTTACAGATTACAAGTTACCCTATCTAAAATGTTACAAGTAGTGTAACTATTTCAATTACTTCATTACATTTGATTAGTTTTCGATTCCTTTTCTAAATTTCTAACTGTTATTCATTTTCAAACATGTACAGTAAAGCAGGCAGGGTTAACCTTACAGTACTCTACACTGATTATTGTCAGATTTTCAAAGTCACTTGAAATAAGAGTATAATTTAATTTTAAAGCACAGCCAGCACAAAATCAGAGATCATTTGAGGTTAAATACAGATTTAAAACCATAACAAGGAATAGTTAAGTAGCTGTGATACTGTTTTTGAAATCAAATCTTTGCATAGTTATGATAGGAAACACTGGCATCTAACAGTTTATCTTAAAAAAATTAAATAAAATAAAGCATACACATAAACCCAAATAGGAAATAAAACAGTTATCGAATAAGCATGTGTCCTATTCTGTGTACTAAAGTCCTGAAACATTGGTGTCTCATATTTTTAGAGCAGTCACTGCAATTTATGAAAGAAGTCAATTAAATCTGTATGTGGGTGAAAAAAAAAAAAATCAGATGAAACCCCCTTTTTAATCGTGAACGTTTTCATTAGTACATTTTTGTAACTGATTACAGTTACATTTAATTTGTAATGAAATGACATTAATTTAGTTGCATGTGACTAGTTACTTCCCAACACTGGTAGTGTTAATGTGTGCTGCTCTTTTTGTTTTGTGTCCAGTGCTCTCAAGCATTATGCTATTATATGTAAATAACTCAAGCACATGTTCACGCAGAGAGCAGCTTTACCTCTATGCTCCGGAGCGGTGGCCGTCTGCCTGTGTGGAGCCTCGGCGTGTTGTGATCTGGAATATGGCTCTTTTCTCTGTCCTCATGGCAGCGAGTGGCCTTCAGCTCATTTTCTGCATTCTTCATCTCCTCACCGCCTTACTGGAGTTCATGTGCAGACCCAGCTTCTGCAAGAATAAGGTACAGATGCTCACAAAGAGCCTTGTGAAAAAGACACGTCAGTGAATTCACTGTGCACTTGTAGCATACTTCAAATCTACTGTAAGATAATGTCATATTAATGAAATAAAAGTACACTTAAAGAGAGTGCACCTTCATGACTGCGTTTCTTAAGTGAACTTTGTAATATAGTCAAATGAAAAGTTTTACGTTAAAGGATTTGAAATCATTATTTTTATTAATCTTGCCATGTTTTATAGAAGTACACTTACAGTATTTTGATGTGTTGACTAGCATACTAAAGCTCATGTAATGTACTTGATTTTAGTGTTTCTATTAAGGGTCATATATTTGAAATATACTATACTTGATCATTTCAAAAGTGTAATTTCATTTTTTTAATACATGCATTAGAAGTTTTAATAGAAATGATATATTTAAATAGCTTGTAAAATAAAAAAAAATGCTTGTAAGAACATTTGGCAGAATGCTTTAACCGTAAATAAAAGTAATAATGAATTTATAAGCAAGTATCACTTAAATGGGTAAAAAATCCACTCTACAGTTCAGAAAATTGCATTTTTGCATTTATAACACAATTTAAAAATATCTACTTTTCCCTCTTTTTTAGGTTGTTCCTGTTTGAAATGACTAGAGGTTGTATTTATTTCCTCTCCGTGTGAGAATGAGAAGGACATTTTTGGGGGGGTTAAACAGTCAGCTATGACTGCTTAACTTATTTTAAACAGAAAGAGAGAGAGAAAATAGAAATGGGAAGTGGATCGGGGAAGCCAGTTTTCACATCCCTGAAGTTTTTACTGCACTGTCATCACACACGTCCAGTCTTAAGAGTGATTTTAGTGACGGTAAACTTTGAATCCCAGAAACACTTGAACAGATAAAATGCCTTGAATAATCCACTAAAAGCATAGAGACAAATAATCCGTTTCAAATAGTCTGTATTGTAATATATATTCAGAATGCACTTTAATATTTATGCAATGTATAGTAATGTAATTTCATGTGTGTGTATGTGTTGATACTGAAAAGCTTAGTTTTAGATGTTATTTTTATTGTTTGATTTCTACGAGATTAAAAACTAATTGTATGAACACTTCATTGTGTAAAGGAATGCATTATTTACTGAATTCCACTCAACTGCATTGATTTTAATGGAATATACAAGCAGCACACTTGTCAAGAAAAACACATTTCAGAATGACTGTTCATAATACAGAAGTATTGTGAAATGTGTCCGAAAAACACCAAATAAACACAGACATCACAACATCACAATCATGACCTCGGGTTATTTCAAGCTGCGACATTTTCAGAGAAAACGGCATTTATCCTAATGGCAACAAGAGGGAGAAAATTTTCACAGTTCTTCACTCTACTAACCATATGTTTGTTAGGAGAAAATAGTATGTACTGTAGTGTTTTATTGTTATATATGTCACAAAATGCCTGCAGGTTATTGGTTTGGTCATCATCAACATTTATATGAAGCTAATTAAATTGTGAAATTTAGTGAAAATTATTTCTAAAAATAATAAATAGCCTATAAGATTATAATCAGAAAAAAAAAACAAAAAAAACCCGGATAATTTAATAAGCAACTTCAGATCCTGTATAAAATATTGCATATACAGTATCTCACAGAAGTGAGTACACCCCTCACATTTTTGTAAATATTTTATTATATCTTTTCATGTGACAACACAGAAGAAATGACACTTTGCTACAATGTAAAGTAGTGAGTGTACAGCTTGTATAACAGTGTAAATTTGCTGTCCCCTCAAAATAACTCAACACACAGCCATTAATGTCTAA